CCCACACTCTGCCCAAGCTTGTGCCTCAGCAGCTCAGCGCCATTTCCGCCTCTGCCACACAGGGCATTTCAATGCGAATTAATCAAGGTCTGGGCACAGCTGATCTCAGTTCAGTGCCCAGGGAATGGTCCTTGGCACCAGAACCACAGATCCAGCTGGCCCTTTCAGGTAGCGGTGGAGAGGGGTACGCAGCGACCCGGCCCGGCTGGGCCCTCTGCAGCATGATGCAGGTGGGGGGATGCACCAGTGGCTCCCCACTCAGGGTGCAATGCAGGGGGCTGGTTAACAGGTTAAACATACAGTCGAACCAATCCACATTTGAAAGGGCATTTACATCCCTACTTTCAGGCAGCCTCCCTGGAGACACTTCATGCTGAATGGCCAGACAGGGAGATGGTTCCCTCAGGCAGTGAGAGGCTCCGCCACTGCCTATGCTACCAGGGGCTCCCCCCCTGCCTATGCTACCTGCCCTGGGTGTCAGACACTGCAGGGCTGGGTGGCCCCTTCCATCAGTCTCCAAGTCAGAGACAGCCCTTCCTGAGAGCAATGCTGCCTGTGCCGGTAACTGCAGGGCTGTGCCTGCCAATGTCCCTGTGGCTTGGGGGTTCAGGGGTGTTCTGGCTGCAGTGAGGGCTGGTCTGGACACCTGCATTCGGTGCACTGCTTCCCCACACCAGCATCCATGGGTGCCACAGGTTCAGGCAGCTCCCTCTACAGCCGAGAAAGAGAGAGAGAGAGAGAGAGCGCATTCAGGAGAGGATGGGCCTCCAGCCCAAAATTCTGCCAACACCATCCCATCATCACACCTTGCTCCCTAGTGCCAGCTACTGCCCTTCAAACACCCCCCTTGTGGCCCCTACGAGACATTTTTGGTCTCCTATCCATCCCTTGCAGAGCCTACACGCTGGAAGTCGTGTTCCCAGAGTGGATTTATGGCCCGTTAAACCTCCCCTTTCATTTCCTAGGCAGATGACACCAATAAATGCTCACACATTGCCCTACAGTGAACAAGTGACGGGCTGCGACACAGCCTTTGTGCTGCTTCCGCTTATCACACTCTAGGACATTTTTGGTCTCCTATCCATCCCTTGCAGAGCCTACACGCTGGAAGTCGTGTTCCCAGAGTGGATTTATGGCCCGTTAAACCTCCCCTTTCATTTCCTAGGCAGATGACACCAATAAATGCTCACACATTGCCCTACAGTGAACAAGTGACGGGCTGCGACACAGCCTTTGTGCTGCTTCCGCTTATCACACTCTAGACAGGCACCGAGCAGCCGCCACTTGTTACAGAAACAGCTACAATAACTCCGAGGAGCGCCT